GCGTGAGGTGGTATCTCAGTGTGGTTTTGATTTGTATTTCCCTGATGAGGAGGGATGCTGAGCATCGTTTCATGTGTCTGTTGGCCATCTGGATGTCCTCTTTGGAGAAGTGTCTGTTCATATCTTCTGCCCATTCCTTTACTGGATTATTTGTTTTTCAGGTGTGGAGTTTGGTGAGTTCCTTACAGATTTTGGATACTAGCCCTTTATCTTTTCCCATTCCATCGGTTGCCTATTAGTTTTATTGATTGTTTCCCTTGCCATGCAGAAGCTTTTTATCTTGATGAGGTCCCAATAGTTCATTTTTGCTCTTGATTCCCTTGCCTTTGGGGATGTGTCAAGTAAGAAATTGTTGTGGTTGAGGTCAAGGAGGTTGTTTCCTGCTTTCTCCTCTAGGGCTTTGATGGTTTCCTGTCTCACATTCAGGTCCTTTATCCATTTTGAGTTTATTTTTGTGTATGGTGTGAGAAAGTGATCTAGTTTCATTCTTCTGCATGTTGCTGTCCAGTTCTCCCAGCACCATCTGTTAAAGAGGCTGTCGTTTTTCCATTGGATACTCTTTCCCGCTTTGTCAAAGATTAGTTGGCCATATATTTGTGGGTCCAATTCTGAGTTCTCTATTCTATTCCATTGGTCCATGTGTCTGTTTTTGTGCCATACTTAGTAGTTTTTAGTGAACATCAGCCTTTGGAAACATTTTCTTCCTTTAAAGGGCATTTGATTGTTTTTTTCCTCATAGATCATCTAGATCTAGTTTTGTTAGCACTGATATTTTTCCAGTTTTCTCTTATTCCTAAGATGAAGCCTTTATACCTATGGCAGAAACTCTACTTCTAGGGCCTAGCTCTTACTCCGAGGTTATAACCCCTGCTTCTAAGGAGTAGCCCTTCTGGGGTTTCAGCTGATAGCCTGAAGCAACACACTTTGACTAGTCCTGAATTCCTACCACTGTCTGCCCAGCACTGTGAGATACTGAAAACTTTGCCCAGCTTTTTAGTCATCTTTCTACTGATTTTCACTTGGTTTTGAGGAGTGTCACCCTCCTCGCACACAGCTTAGGATTTGGTAATGCCCGAAGAGGAAATTGCATACCGAATCTTGGGCTAATACTTTGTAGTTCCCACTACTCCTTCCTTAGGGGTCTCAGTCTTACTGGCATCCCCCAGTTCCAACTCTTCCATTCCCTCTCTCCTTGTCTTTCTTTCCTTTTGGTTCTCCATCCTCTTTTGAACCCTCTCTAGTCAGGTCTTCACACCCACCATCTCACCAGAATTTCTCTTGTCAAGATCACCAGTACCTTCACATTGCTAAATCCAGTGAGCAATTCTTAGTCATTTTCCTACTTGGCCTATTAGCAGTTTTTGACATAGTTGATCACTCCCTCTTCCTCTACTTATCTTCTAATATACTACACTCTCCTGGTTTTTCTCCTTTACTAGCACTCTGTTTCTGCTCTATGGCTGATTTCTTCCAATTTCTCCAAGGTCTAAATATTGGAGTTTCCAGGCTTAGCCCTTGGATCTCTTCTCTACTTTTGGTGATCTTATCCTGTCTATGGCTTTAAAGACCTTCTCTATGCAACAACTCACAAATTTATATTTCCAACCTAGATTTCTCCTCAAATTTCCATCTTGTACATATGACATCTTGACATCTCTATTGGATATTTGCTAGATATTTCAAATTTTTAACATGTCCAACACTAAATTTCTGATCTTCATTACTCCCTCAAACCTAGTCTTAACAAGTCTTTCTCATTTCAATAAATGGCAGCTCCAGCCTCTCAGTTCTGCAGGTAAGAAACCTTAGTCATTCTTTACCTCTCATTTCCCCTCATACCCCACATCTAATCTGTCATCAGATTTTGTTGGATTTATCTCTAAAATATATATACAACCACTTCTCATTACCTCTATCACCACCATCTGATTCATGCTGCCATTATCTCTAACCTAAATTACTGGAGTAGTCTTCTAACTGGCTTCCTTTGTCCCTCTATAGTTGGATCTTAGCACAGATGTTAAAGTGGTCTTTTAAAAATTCCCTTACTCTGAGCCACCCAACAAGCCTCCCATCTCATTTAAAATAAGCTCAACCTCTTTCATTGGCCTAAAAATAAAGTGATGGTATAATTTATCATCTAAAGTAGGACACTTTTGAGAATGGAAAGGACATCAGACATTAACTGAGACTGTTCCAGCAAGCCACCTGAGTCCTATATGATCCCTTTCCCACCCCACCTCACTCTCACTCCATTTTCAGCTCACCAGTCTCCTGCCTATTTCTTGGAAAGGACAGGTTTGCTCCTACCCCGTGTCTTTTGCACTTGCTAATCTCCTGGATATCTGTATGACTTGCTCCCTCCCTTCATTCGGGCTTCGTTGAGATGTCATCTTCTCAGGAAGACCTCTAACCACCCTGTTATTTGAGATATCAATCCCACTCTCACCTCACACTATATGTATTTTACTTGTCTATATATTGCTTATTTACTCTCACTAGAAGTAAGCTCCATGAGGGAAGTTTTTTTGTTTTTTGTTTTCTTTCATTTGTTTGTTTTACCTGTTTTGTTACAAGTATTTTCCCATTTGGTTTGTAGTCTTAATAATTGACATTTTATTTTATCTTTTTATCTGGTGCTTAGAACTATGCTCAGCACATTTAGGTATCTAATAAATATTGGATGGATGAATGAATGCAAGTATATTGATCACTTGAGAATTCATTCAGTCACCAAATATTTATTGAGTGCCAAAATTAGAAATACTATGCACCCAAAGATACCAAAGCAGGGGCGCCTGGGTGGCTCAGTCATTTAAGCGGCTGACTTCGGCTCAGGTCATGATTTCATGGTTCATGGATTCGAGTCTCGCGTAGGGCTCTGTGCTGACAGCTAGCTCAGAGCCTGGAGCCTGTTTCAGATTCTGTATCTCCCTCTGTCTCTGACCCTCCCCTGCTCATGCTCTCTCTCTCTCAGAAATAAATAAAACATTAAAAAATTTTTTTCAAAGATACCAAAGCAAAATTTAGCTTAAGTTTATAACATGCAAAGTATGTAATTATTGTTGAAGTTAATAAAAATTATTCTTTAGCATTCTAAGCTAATTTATTTTATTTGTAAATTTATTGCTATGTATCAGGTCTGTATACTTCTTGTGAAATCATCAAGGTTTTGGCACCCATTTTGTGGACCCCATTTTTGACATCTACTTTTATTCATTACTTTTAGCAAACTATTGAAGAGAAAAAGGGCATATCTGGATATAGTTACACCCAGGAAGAGCTAGAAAGGGTATCTGCACTGAAGAGCGAAGTTGATGAAATGAAAGGCCGAACACTAGATGACATGTCTGAAATGGTGATTACACTTTTTTATAATTTTTTAAAATTGTGTAGCTAGAGGCAGATGTTTTTGTGTTTTGTTTTCAGTGAAACACTGAAATTTTTATTTCTGCACATTGTTCATTTTATATTCCTTCATCTGTCTTTATCAGTCTCTTTTGAATGTTTCCATTTTAGTAAGTTGTTCAACTTGTAATAATTTAGGCATTTTGCAAGGCTTTTTCCCCAAGGAAACATGATAGATTTATTAAATACCCTATGGAATTGGGTATTGAAATGCCTGCCTTATCTTGTGGTTTTTGAATTGTGTAAAAGTTCTATGCCATTAAAGAAGTATTGAAGATAAAAAATAAGTTTTCCCAAATCATACCACCCTAACTAATAAAATTATTTCATTTTTGTGTCTGTCCTTCATATCTGTCCATATTTGGAGCTGCTACTCAGCCTGAAGGCACTGATGCCACTTGAGCAGGCATTAAAATATTGAAATCTTTCCTTCCTTACTGGTAAATAGCTGCTGCCTCAAACTCTCACAGTACCCACTTCCACCTGGCTTTTCCACATTGGCCACTTACCCAGAACCCTCTGGATCTCACTACAGTCTAACTCCTAAAAAGATCAGCGTTTAACCCAGCAGAGGCCTTCAATACTCTGTTACCTGGCTGGTGTCCATTTTGATTCGTCATTACTTATATCATTTGGGTTATTAAGTATTTTGAATATCACTTCATCATATTATGTATATACTCTATAACCTACAAAATTACATTTTTTACATAATACAACATGATTGTAGCTGTATTTAGGCAATTTTGTGATTTTTTTTCATTATTCAGTGTTAGATTACAAGTATTTTCTCATATGGTTTGCAGCCTTAATAATTGACATTTTCTTTCTTTCTTTTTTTCTTTTTTTCTTTTTTTTTTTTGAGAGAGAGAAGGGAGCACGTGTGCATGCAAGCAGGGGAGGGGCAGAGGGAGAGAGAGAATCTCAAGCAAGCTCCATGCCCAGCACAGAATCTGACATGGGCTTGATCTAACAAACCATGCGATCATGACCTGAGTCGAAGTCAGGAATCAGATGCTTTAACTAACTAAGCCACCCAAGCACCCCAATAATTGGCATTTTATTTATTTTTTTAAAGGTTTATTTATTTTTGAGAGTGAGTGCAAATGGGGGAGGGGCAGAGAGAGAGGGAGGCAGAGGATCTGAAGTGGGCTCTGAGCTGACAGCAGCAATCTCGATAAGGGCTCAAACTCATAAACCATGAGATCATGACCTGAGCTGAAGTCAGCCGCTCAACTAAGAGTGACCCAGTAATTAACATTTGAAATAATTAAATGCTGGGCGCCTGGGTGGCTCAGTTGGTTAAGCGTCTGACTTCAGCTCAGGTCATGATCTCACAGTTCATAACTTTGAGCCCCCATTGGGCTCTTCACTGTCAGCGCAGAGCCTGCTTCAGATCTCTCTTCCCTTCTTTTTCAGCCCTTACCCCACTTGCATGCATGTGTGCACTCTCTCTCTCAAAATTAAAAACATTTAAAAATTTTTTTAAAAAGTTAAATGCTATTTCATATCACCAAATCAACATTTACTAAATCATTTCCCCATTGTTTGATGTTGAAGTAATTTAGTTTTTTTACCGTTACATAACACTTTAATAAATATATTTATGCATGTATTTTTTTTGTTCTTTTGAATTCTTGTTTTAGATGTCATGTATTTTGTTTAAATGACAGGTAAAAAAGCTGAATTCACTGGTATCTGAAAAGAAGTCTGCTCTAGCCCCAGTTATAAAAGAACTACGACAGTTGCGTCAGAAATGTCAAGTAAGTGAATCTGATTATGCGATACTTTTAGCATCCTATCTTGTTCAGATGTGCTGGTTAGAATCCTGCATATTTTACTTGAGTAATTTATAGAAAACAAATTATTATTATTATTGTTATTATTGATATGATTCCACAAAAAGTAACAATGTAACCTTTGAAGTTTTTTATTTAATTTTTGCTGTTTGTTTTATTAAATTTTCGGGGGGGGAGAGAGAAGGAGAAGTTTACGCTGAAATCACAAGTGCAGCTAGATTAGATTTTTGCTTTAAATCTGATGCATGTCAGGGCTATAAATATGAAGTCACATTCTTTTGTGGCCAGGTAAAAGCTCAGAGTCTGCCAACGAGTGGTGACAAGTTAACTTTAGATTAATGGGCTTGCTTAGCTAGGGAGCAGAGCCAGGGGCAAACTACGATAGCTTGTGATAAGTGATGGAATACCATTACTTGCAAGCTAATTCTAACCACTGCTTTGAAGCTAAACTGTTAGAAGGTAAATGCCCTCCGCAAATCCAGATCAGATGGCCTCCGCCATCTGACATTAGCAGTTGTTATTTTATCACTCTCTGTGTAGTAATTTTAGGTTTGAATATGGGTTGTAATGCATGTGCCTGAGTATGGAACTATAAAATTCTTCACGAATGCCATCCATCAGAGCACAGTGAAAAATCACATGGACTTTGAAATCAGATAGACATCATCTCCTTTTTATAGAAAATGCCATTGGGTCAGAGACAGGTTTAGTGACTTATCCAAATAGACAAATAGGCAGTGAGAGAGTTGGAGCTTGACTCCAGCATCTGTATTATCATATTTCAAATCTCTCGCTCATTCCATTACACACTGCTGCCATCACAAAAGAAATGAAAGAGACAAGTCTCTATTCTGTAGAGTTAATACACTCATAGGTGAGATGAGACAAACATGAAGAAATTCAAGAAAGACAAAAGATAAACCAACTTAAGAACAATATAGAACGGGTTCCTGGGTGGCTCAGTTGGTTAAGTGCCTGACTTCAGCTCAGGTCATGATCTCACGGTTCATGGGTTCAAGTCCCATATTGGGCTCTGTGCTGACAACTAGCTCAGAGCCTAGAGCCTGTTTCAATTCTGTATCTCCCTCTCTCTCTGTCCCTCCCCTGCTCATGCTGGGTCTCTCTCTCTCCCTCAGAAATAAGAACATTAAAAATTTTTTTAAAAATTAAAAAAAAGAACAATATAGAAAAGAGGCGCCTGGCTGGCTAGTCAATGGAGCATGTGACTCTTGATCTCAGCATTGTGAGTTCGAGCCCTGCATTGGGCATAGAGCTTACTTTAAAAAACGAAAGAAAAAGAGAAAGGAAGGAAGGAAGGAAGGAAGGTAGGAAGGAAGGAAGGAAGGAAGGAAGAAAAGAATCAGAATCATAACTGATAAGAGGAAGCAAATGATGTGATTGTTAGGAAGGAAATGTTTCAGAAAGGAAATTTTTGAGCAAAGCTTAGAGATTGAGGACATCAAGAATTGTTTTCATGGTTACATTCTAATCCACTGATTTTCTTAAAGCTTTTCTTGAGTAAGCAACTTGAAAATCAAATGGACTGGTGATGTGTATTTCTAGTGATGATAAAATTTCTCCCTAATAAAATTTGTTTGTAAACAATTCTTTTATTAAATTCATTTTTGTCATTTATATATTAAGTGAGTTTTATTGAAGGGATATTAAAGACAGTAAAGGAAATGTGCTGTCATGGAATTTGAAGGATCAGAAACATAATGTGCCTGAAACAGGTACAGGTACCATAACCAGAGAGTATTTTGAGTCAGGGAAGTTTCAGGAATTCTAACAGCAGGAGCTTGTGGATAATGATAATGAAATGATAGTTAAAAACACATATTATGTGCTTTCTGTGTTCCAGGCACAATTAATGTTGCTCATTTAGGCCTCACAACCACCCGTGTGGCTCCTTATTGTTCATCTTACATGCTAAGACCTTCCCCTCTACATATTTTGTGTTGAACTTTTCACTACTAACTGTGCTGTTTTCTCTGCATTTTCTAATTCAAATTCCTGGTGCAGCTCTTCTCTTTTGGGTACAGTTTTTCATGCCCAGCTATCTCATGGACTATTGGCTATCCTTAGGTCAGGTCAGGAATCCATTCTTAGTCCAGCCAGTTATGTCGTAAGGGCAGGATGAGAAGAAAGGAGGGTGATGTGGTACCAAGTATGGCTGCCTAGAGAATTTTTCCTCTGGAGAGGCTATAGATATGCCAGGTATTTTAACTGACATCTTTTAATACACCACCTGTCATCCTATTAGTAACAGTTGAACAGTGTTCATCTTTGCATTTCAGCCTTGTCCTCTCATATACACTTTTTTACATGGTTGGAATTTTAGTATATACTGCACTTAGTTTAAGGTTCTATTCAGACAGTGTAGATAGAATGATTAAGAACATGTACTACAGAGGGGCGCCTGGGTGGCTTAGTCGGTTAAGCGTCTGACTTTCGCTTGGGTCATGATCTCGTGGTTTGTGGGTTCAAGCCCCGCGTCGGGCTCTGTGCTGACTGCCAGCTCAGAGCCTGGAGCCTGTTTCAGTCTGTGACTCCCTCTCTCTCTGACCCTCCCCTGCTCACTCTCTCTCTCTCTCTCTCTCTCTCTCCTAGAAATAAATAAAACATTTAAAAAAAAAAAAAAAGAACATGTACTACAGAATCAGGCAGACCCTGGATAACCTTGGGTAAATGACTTTATTCCTATAAACTTTAGTTTCCTTATCTGTAAACTATCTCTTCTTCATAGGGTGGTTGTAAAGACTAAATGAAATAACTTATATAAGGCACTTTGCAACAATGACTAATACATAAGAACTTTTTAAAAAGTATTTATCCAGTGTGCCTGTGTGGTTCAGTTGGTTAAGTGTCCAAATCTTGATTTTGGCTGAGGTCATTACCTGGTGATTTGTGAGATCAGGCCTCACATCAGGCTCTGCACTGACATCGGGGAGCCTGCCTGGGATTCCCTCTTTAGATAGATAGATAGATAGATAGATAGATAGATAGATAGATAGATAGATACTTTTAAAGTATTTATTATTATGATTATTAAAGAGACTTTTAAAAGAAGGGATAGTATTGCTTTTCAACCAAATTGTTTTCTGAGTAAACTATATACCAGATCTTAAGTTCTATAAAATCATGTATTATAATAATGTAACCAAACCGGAAACTCATTTTCATGTGATTTAACTCAATTTCTCTGTATGTGAAGGGCTGCCTATGTCTACCATCACAAAGAAATGTAGCCCTCTGACCATCATTCCAAACTCTCCAGTTCTTTCCATATCATCAAATCAGAGGGGTACCTAAGCCATGTCAATATTTTCATCTCTATCTTCTGCCATGTTGAAAAGTCATTCTGCTAAGGACAAATACTGCATGATTCCGCTTATATGACATACCCAGAGTAGTGACATTCAGACACAGTAGAATGGTGGTTGTGATGGCCAGGGTGAATGGGAAGTTAAGTGTTAATGGGGACAGAGTTTCAGTGTGGGAAGATGAAAAGAAATCTGGAGATGGAAGGTGGTGACGGCTGCACGACAGTGTGAATGTGCTTAATGCCACTGAACTGGACACTTAAAAATAGTTTCAGCAGTAATTTTTATTTTCTATATTTTTTACCACAATCAAAAAATCTTTTAGGGGCGCCTGGATGGCTCAGAGGGTTAATTTAAGTGTCCCACTTTGGCTCAGGTCATGATCTCATGGTTTGTAAGTTCAAGCCCCATGTCAGTCTCTGTGCTGACTGCTCAAAGCCTGGAACCTGCTTCACATTCAGTCTCCCTCTCTCTCTGCCCCTCCCCCACCCACACTCCATCTGTCTGTCTGTCTCTCTCTCTCTCTTTGTCAAAAATAAGTAAACATTAAAAAAAAATTTGAATGGGGCAGGACTTGCCTATATTTGTGTTAGCTGTTGGTTTTGGTTTTTTTTTCCCCAGTGGTTGAGTTCAGTGTATTTGGTGAGTGTCTGATTCTCATTTTGCTTGTCTCCATATGTCCATCTCCCACATCCATGTATAGTTCTACTTTTATCCAGAAACGTTTTGTGATAAAAAGTATACTAAAAAAAGCGGCTAGCCATGTCATTGATTGTAAGCTCTATTCAAATCTTAACTACAATTCTTAAGTGTTCTCTACTTTGAGTATTATTTATTTCTTTAAAAGAAATCACTTTTCTTTTAATTTTTTATATGTTTATTTATTTTTGAGAGAGACAGAGAGAGAGACAGACAGTGCAAAAGAGAGAGGGGCAGAGAGAGAGGGAGACACAGAATCCAAAGCAGGTTCCAGGCTCTGAGCTGTCAGCACAGAGCCTGACATGGGGCTCGAACTCATCACCTGTGAGATCATGACCTGAGCTTAAGTCTGATGCTTACTTAACTGACTAACCACCCAGGTGCCCTAATATTATTTATATTTAACTTGCATGTACTTACCACTCAAAACAACGTAAATGTATTGTTAAAGTGCAGGACTACTTGAAAATACTTTATACTTCTTGCTGTAATGGGCAGCTCTGAAATATTTAGGAAACTTTATGGTGAATTGTTAGGACATTTCCTTTCTTATTGTACTTATATCTTCTGAATTTGAATAGTAACAACTGTTTGAAAATTAGAGCACTGCAACTCCATACGTATAACTTACCTATTTTTTTAATGTTTTATTTATTTCTGAGAGAGAGAGAAAGAGAGAGAGAGCGTGAGCAGGGGAGGGTCAGAGAGAGAGGGAGATACAGAATCTGAAGTAGGCTCCAAGCTCTGAGCTGGCTGTCAGCACAGAGCCCGACGCGGGGCTCGAACCCACGAACCGTGTGATCATGACCTGAGCCAAAGTTGGATACTTAACCGACTGAGCCACCCAGGTGCCCCTAAATCTTTTATAATCACCTAGAATTAGAACAGCATCTTGAAAAGTGTTACGTTTATTAGGAGTATTTCTATAAGTGACTTGTAATT